CCCAAAAAAAAAAAAAAAAACTATTCCATAAACAAAACAAAGGCCCCTGTATTAACACCCAGAAGGCGGCCGAATAGCGGAGGCTCGCGTGCTCGGACTCAAGCTCGCGGCGTAGGTGCTCCTTCTCCTGCAGATCCCCATGCAGTGCTCCAGGTACCTACTTTTTGGGCTTGTGAGAAGATTTGACGCCTTATCTGACTTCACATATGTCGGCGCAATTCTATTCCGACAAAATCTACGGCGTTCGGGAGTTTCCCGATATTTCCCAAGAGTCCAAGTAAGGTGTGGGGCTTCTACGCTTTGAATGCTTGTGAAGCCTCAGACTGCTCCTATTAGGGTTTGGGGTTTAGGGGTTTAGGGTTTAGGGTTTAGGGTTTAGGGTTTATGCTCCTACAGCAACCAAGTGGAAGTACCAGGTGGACATCCCTTTGCAACCGTCTGCTGCATGGTCGTCCTGCTGCCGCAGGTGGCTCTCGTGCTGCTTTTCGCGCTCCTCACGCTCGTCATCCTGCTGCCGCTCGTGAGCCTCGCGCTGCCTTTCGCGCTCCTCATGCTGTTTTTCTCGCTCCTGGGCCGTAAATCGTGGTTTTCAGACGTTTTGCGGTTTGAGGTCTGGGATGCGTTCTGGCGACGACTGTCATCACCATCCGTACCTGTGGTAGCCCCATGCATATCCTAGTTGTCATACATCAGCATATGCACTGCCATCGTTTTCACATTTATCATCCTCACCCCCTCAGCCCACTCAAGCGCAAAACTCAGAACCCGGCCTAAGCTGAAGATTCTGAAGCCTCTAGAGCAGCAGAAGCGGCATTCGACCGGGCGTGCTCAGACGAGGCATTCGCGCCCGTTGCTGCCAACATCAAAGCCGCATCCGAGGAGCCCTGCTGACCTGGAAATGCTAAGCTCTCTTAAACCATCAATGAAGGAGGCTCAAGATGGGATTTCGGGCTTACGACTTCATAGAGTTTGTTGGTTCTTTGTTGGGGGCCTATAGGGTCTTGGAAGTTCAGTGTGAAGCTTAGTCCTCTCATCTCATGACGAAGAACGGTGTGGCAGTAGTCGCTGTGATGGTGGTAGCCACGAATACCACCACTGCTACGACAGCTGCTGCCACGACGACGACTACTGGTACTGCGTCGGTTACCATGTACTAATTACACACTAATAACTACTAGCTAGCTATTAACCGTGAACCGTCAACCCCTCAGCTCCGAAATACGCTCAGGTATGACATTGCCCCTACGACCAACAACCGGCATCCTCCGCCCAGTGAGCCTTGACCTTTGGTGTACTTGGAGTAATCCATGTACTGCTGGAAGCCGCTCTTGTCGGAACCGTGCCCCTGCGTGTACTTGCCTTGCTGCGGCACAGGTCCGGGGAAGAAGCTCTTCGGATTTAAGGGTGGCGACGAAAACTTCAGTTCCAGTCGAAACTACGAGACAAGAACAAATCTGATGTTCTAATTACCATGGACAAGTTGCTGTAATCATCGGCGTAGGACTGCATATACTGCTTGTAGTCCGAGCCCTGCGAGCCGTGCCCTTGAGTGTACTTGGAGTAGTCCAGGTACTGCTTGTAGTCACCGCCCTGCGCGCGACAGGTTGGGGATCAAACAACTCTCTGCAAGAACGACGACTGAAGCAAAGCCTAGAACAAACAAGTCTGCATCTCATGTTGGGGTGATTTTGATTCGGGAGCCAATGGCACAATCAAGCCGATGCCCTTCGATACACAGTTTACGGATGTTTAGGGCTTGTTTGAGACGTCTTCACGCTGTGCTTATCTCGCACATCACAGTCTTGTTCTGCCAACAGAACTGCCGCAACCCTGGCCCGAAACCATGACAGCAACTCTCATCGCCACATGACTCGAAGAACCCAGGTGCTCACTACATGTGGAGCAACGGCCTTCGGCTAGTGTGCAAAGCATGTACCACACTAAAATCGAAATTTTACACTCTCGGAATGCTCGAACAGGGGTTCTGAGAAAACTCCAGGTTTCCACAACAACGCTCCTGCTGTGTAGAGTTGGTAGTCTTGCCGTCAAGAGTCCACATATTCTCAACCCCGAACCGCGTTTGGTACTGCCCGCCTGTGAGCCGTGCCCCTGCGTGTATTTGCTATAGTCCCCGCCGTAGGACTGCATATACTGCTTGTAGTCCGAGCCCTGCGAGCCGTGCCCTTGAGTGTACTTGGAGTAGTCCAGGTACTGCTTGTAGTCTGCACCCTGTGAGCCGTGACCCTGAGTGTATTTGGCGTAGTCCATGTACTTCTGGAATCCACTCTTGTCAGCTGCATGCTCTGATTGGTGTGCCTGCAAAAAACTTGCATAAGCGACTCCATAATCGACGTATGAGCATTAGTTGCACCGTGACGAATCTCACTCGAATGTCCTACAATACTTTCTCACCTCGACATGTACATGTACGCATATATGTATATATACATATATATATATATATATGAAATTGAATATACATATATATATATATAGGCTGAATGTGAATATAAATCTGCGGCACCCCCATGCCTCAGAATTGCAGACTTGCCGATTCCCAAGTTCGCACGATTCGCACACTTCGCAGATTCGCAGTTCCACAGATCGGCCAGACAATGCTGTTTAATTTGTGAATTTACAAATCTTCGAATCCGGGAGTCTGCGAATCTAAAAATATGTGAATTTAAGCAAACTTGTGAAACATCATGAAACCAGATTTCGCTTCTTTCTCGCACACAAAGATGGAACATTTGCGCATAAATAGGAAGCTGCCATTGCCAAAACAGGAAATGTTGATACATTGTTCTAGTAAAAACAGTGTTTCCGTCTTCTCCGTTCTATCAGGTGCTCACGCAACCCCGGGAACGGAACGGCACGCGAACGAGAACGGAACGGAACGCAACAAAGATTCTAAGAAAAACAGGCCAAGCAGATCTCCATCCTACATGAAACCACCTCAATGATTTTTAGCAGGTCGGGAAAATTCATTGGCAAGTGGTGGTATGCATGGGGAACGGCAAGAATCTAAGAAGCGAAAAACCTGCAACTCGGCAGCCAGAAGGGGCCTGCGGTGTTGCTTTCCCCTGTTTTGCACGTTGCCAGCAAACCTCCTCGATGATTTTGGCGGGTCCGGAAAATTCGCTGGTGACTGTTGGGATGCATGGAGAAGGGCAAGAAACGAAATTTCACCGACTTCGGCAGCCAGCACGGCCTTGGGGTGTGACTTGTCCCTTGCCTGGAAATCTCCTCAATGATTTTTGGCGGGTCCGCGAAAGTCTTCGGTGACTGTTGGGATGCATGGTGAAACGCAAAAAAAAACTTTCATCGACTTCGGCAGCCAGCACGGACATGAGGTGTGACTTGACCCTGGCCTGGAAATCTGCTCAATGAATTTTGGTGGTTCCGGAAACAGGAAGGGAGCGGGACGGAACCAAGGATACCTGCATGAGCTCACGGGCGAGTTGCTCCACGATTGTAATTGGAGGCTGGGTGTTCGCAAATGAAATTCCCACGTCTGTAAAAATCAGTGGCCGATGTCAGGGCAAGCGCACCGCGCCTTGATATCACACAAAGGAAGGGAGCGCGAAAGAACCAAGGATAAAATCATTTGGGCATTGCAGCCTATAATCTTGTGGGAGAGTACACAAATGATTGTTGAATCATGTTGACCTTTGTCCAGCCTCAGGTCACATGCAATTTCCACCCCAATTTCCCAAAATCTTCGATTTAAGCTCCGCAGCACGACCTCCGAATCTAGGTTTGTTGCATGTCTGAGCCTCCTTGCAATGCCAGCATTTGGCCGCTGTCCGGGCAATCGCATTCACGTCAAAAAACGGAACCGGACGAGACAGAACCAAGGAAAAACTACGCTTTTTCCATACCAAGTTCGCGAATGCTTCGTTTGGAACTCCCCTGCAGCTTCGGGGATGACTCACAAGGTCCAGGGGAGAGCCTGCATTGCGCTCGCGAGAAAGTTGCCCCACTATTCACTGGCGAAAGCTGAGTTGTACTTGGAGGTTCGGGCTGCGCAGATGAATTTTCCAAGCTGTGTAAAAATCATTGGCCCCTTCCCGGGCAATTGCATTGCATGTGCATATGGTAGAACGGAGCGGAACGGAACGGAACGAACGGAACGCCAATCCCGGAACGCCAACACCCTGTTAAAAGGTTCACTCTCGGCCATTCTTCAATCCAACTCATGTCGGAATCCACTACCAACGCCAAAGTTGGCTCTTTAATTTCCAAATCGGTCTATCTAGATGCATGTCTCTTCAACTTTCTGTTAATGTCAGGATGAGGTCATCGTCATGTACGCAGCACAGTTGTCCTTCGTTGCGATTTACAATGACGAGATGATCGTCATGTAACGCGCTAGCCAACTGAACAAGTTTAAGCAAGTGCATCGTCTGAATACTGCCAGGCCTACTGTAAATCACCAAGAAGTTGATTTGTTTAGTTAATCACCTAACGGGGGATCTTCGTTCCTAGAGTATTTATGTTTCCGTATCTTACTGAAAGAAATTCTTTCATTGACTGAGCAGTTGAGTTGGCCCTTGTTTGGACTCCAATGATATTCGCATTTCACCCCCCGCTGCACAAAATTCAAGGACTCAAGGCGGATTTGCGCGATCGTACCTACTCAGCTGAAACTAAAGGACAAAGTCTGAGCGGACAACGAGGATTGTGCTGGTGACTGCTAGTGCTTAGCATGCCAATGTTATCGCTGGTACATTGGACACCGCGGAGGGACTGGTGTTGCTGCAGGGGAACTGCAAGCCGCAAGAAGCCACGGGAACTGGAACTGCAGGGGACTGAAGGCTTCCGGCCACAGAAATGCAGAACCCGAATCCCGCCTAATGCTATGAACCATGGGCCCATTACCAATTTCAATACTCAGAGGTTACTGAATATCAAGGGAGACGATTAAGTCGATGAAGAGAAATCAACTATGTCATGGCTCGAGAAGACAGCATGATTTCATCATTTGTTACACATGCTATGTCACTTGAATGATATTATATATTTTTAATCACCCGTTTACGAAAATCGCCATCTGCTAATTGCCCTCGCTCTTACAACACCTAGGCTCTGTGCAAAAACATTGAAAACATGCTGGACAAGGGAGGAAGGACCAGGGCAACCACCATGCAAAGGGACCCCCTTCCGCCTCCAATCACTTCGGTAGTAATTCTCGGGAAGCATTTAGCTCGGAATGCAGCCGAAGACGGGTCTGAATGGGGCAAGACTACAGTACAATTACGGCCCATTACAGCTGATTAACGGAACCTACTAGGGCTTTTCTGTCTGCCTGTCTATCTATTTGCCAACTAGAAGCACTCCTTTTCCTTTCGGCAGAGGAGTTTTGAGCGTAGTCAATTATCAGTTTCTGTTTGGTTGGCTTTAGCAGTAGCACAGGAAATGCATTTCTGCGAAACCAGAATATAACATTCAGGAGTGGGAAGGCCAACATAGTGGCTCTTGATCCTAAGTATTGTCCAGCATGGAAAACATCTTAAATGTAGGGTGGTTCCGAATATGGGCGAAGAGATTAGACAGGTTGGGAAGGTGGGCACCCAACCTGTTATGAACCCAAATATGTTTAACAAGTATAATATGATTCAATACGTGTGGTTTCAGAGGGGCATCATACACACACACATATATATATATATATATATGTGTGTGTGTGTGTGCGTATGTGTGTATGTGTGTATGTATGTATGTATGTATGTATGTATGTATGTATGTATGTAGGTAAGTAGGTATGTAGATATGTGTGATATGTGTATGTATGCATCTATGGAAAATGTACATGTCCATTTACATTTGCATGTAGATTCACACCTAAACTTACATATATGTGTAGATTTATACTTATAAGTTACATGTACATGTCCGTATATATGCATACATATATATATATATACACACATGTTTATGCACGTTTTTATTGACTTATTGATTCATGAATATGTGCAATGTATTTTTATGTATGTACAAATAACTACAAGCCCGAAGACTCACATTTCTGCCACAGGCTGACCTGACCACAACTCCATCGAATGGTGCATGAGCCGCACATGACACGTGACATTTGTGTGCATGTACCACACAGACCCCTTGTATCTGTAGATGTAGGTACATGCATGATGGCACACACTTGGGATCCCAAGTAGCTAATTAGCAGCTAATTGTAAGATACTTGGGTTAAGGACAATTGTACTGAGCGGGAAACGCTATTACTAGGCACTCGAACACTATGCGGCATACGTTCGGACTCTATACTTTATCTCAGGTAATGTAGGGCCGGAATAATAAGACTAGGGCTTTGGGGTTTCCTTACTTATATATTATACTTATGGTATAATACACCCCAAACCCTAGCGCCGCAGACCGCACCACAAAGCCAAGTAGACGATTACCTTGTAAACCACCATAACCCGAAACCCCACATCCCTGTAACCCCCCCTCCGAACACACGGCCCAAAACACAAAAGCCGTGAAGCCAAGATGCGGAGTCTTTGTTCGACTTGGAGGTGTCAGCGTCCTGCAGGGACATTCTAGTTCTTGCCCCTGAAGCCTAAACCCTAAACCCTAAACCCTGATCCTGTGATTGGTCGGGCTTTGGGTTATGCGTTTGGTGCGCTTGGGGCTAGTCGGTGGGGCGGGGGGAGGGGGAAAAAGGGAAACCATGCTCTCCTCCAAAGATTCGGTCCGGATTAAGGGTCAAGTCCGAAACCCCAAAGCACTCAACCCACGGACTCCGAAACCTTCAACCTCATGGCTTCCAAGTCTCTAAGCACCAAAATTCAAAGGGTTTAGGGTTTAGGGTCAGTGTTTTTTTGTCGCACGCCTCCGCTGCAACGAAGCTTACTGGCTTCTTTCCGTCTCGAGAAGACTCGTCTGTCGAACCAGAAGATTTAGATGGCATGTACTTGCTGGCATAGTCGCCGGCATACCTTGGCTGAGCCCAAGGTTTTCGGGGCATAGGGCTTGGGAACACAGCTGGCCACAACAGTCAGTCTGTTTGCCTCGAATTCACATGCTTTGACTCCGAGGTTCAACAACTTGGCCACAGTATCGTCGGAATGGTAAATACGCTGGGTCAAACGCAATTGCAATATTACAAAGCCTGTAACTGCTAGAGCACAATCTTGCAACAGCATTGCTCGCCACTGGCTGTGTCCGCAAGCTAAGAGTTGCAGCATGGCCTACAAAGCCCAAGCACCCTGCTTTGGTGAGAAGGCCTTCTCGAGTACTAGAAGGGTTTCGGTGTTGGTGATTTTGGGGTGAAGGGCCTTAGGTCAAAAGGACCTCACAATCAATAATCTGGGTTGCCAATAGTAGTATCGCGTGTCAGTTTCTTTTGAAGAGGGGGGTATGAGCTCAAGGCATGTGGACCCTGAAAGGGCAATGTGTAAATGTGCTTGAGCAGGGCTGCTCAATACATGCCTAGACCCGGAACAGGCCCTGGGCCGTGAATACCGCTGGCGTGTAGATCTGAAGCATAGCGTCTTCGACATGTACTTCTCATACCCGCCAGCAGAATCAGAGCCGTACTGTGCCATGTACCTTCAGCTTGGCTTTGGCTGCCATCGGCCTAGTCTCGGGTCTTGGGTTGACACATATGGCGGAGGGTTAGGGTATACCATACCATGCCACACCATACTATACTATACTAGACTATACCATATAATACCATACCATACTATACTATGCTAGACTGTACCATGCTATACGACACGAAGCTATACCATGCTATACTGTACAAGACTATACTATACCATACTATACAATACCAGACAGTACAAATTATACTAGACTATACCGTGCTATAGTAGACTAAACTGTACTAACTATACTAGACTATACCACAACATTCCCTTCCTGCTGTATCCTGGCCTGGACTGAACTATACCATGCTACGCCAGATTATACTATACTTCACTGGACTATGCTATACTGACTATGCTAGACTATACTTTACCATACTACACTATATACTATACCATACTATACTATACTATACTAGACTATGCTAGACTAAACTACACCATACCTTACTGTGATAGACTATACGTCACTAGACTAGTTTTAAGACAGTTTGTGCCCCAGGCTTCGTGCTCAAAACCAAATTACCGGCCACCCCTCAACAGCGCGCGTGCCAAGGACACATCGTCTCAGAAGACTCTCGCTGTCAGGTTTAGGGTTTAGGGTTGTCAGAGCTGCTTTGATTGCCACCTAAGACTTTCTGGGCTCACGTCTTTCTTTGCCTGGGCCGGAGTTCTGATGCTTCGACGTCAAGGGTCGTAAGGGGTTCCCTAATTAGACGAAGTCACCCTAGAAAGTTGGTCTGTCAGGGTTCAAGGGCTGAGGATTTGTTCGATGACGGGCGTCTCGCGGGCTAGGGTTGCGGATCCACCGCTCGGGACTGTTTTGCTCTTTGGGAGGGTTACTGTCGAGGACACAGAGAACAATGACCATCGACAGCGATGGGGTTGTTGAGGGACTTGAAAAATAGCCACAGGCACTTCTTGTAGTACTTCTGGTAGTCATCACCGCCGTTGCCAGATGCGCCCTGCATGTAGTTCTGGTACTGGGATGCATACTGGTTCATGTACTTCTGGTAGTCTCCTTCCAGATGCATGCAGGTTTCCCCTTCAGGGTTCAGGGCTGAGGATCTATAGTTATTGGACAGGAGCAAATTCGAGCACAGGGCCTAAACGAAGCCTCCCCGTGAGATGCCGGGTTATGGCTGTTTGCCACTCTACTCGGCTGTTGACCCTGCTCACCCTGACATAATGTCGCAAGCCCGGAGAGACACTCCTTTGGAAGCCTAAGCTTCCCAAGAGCCTCAGAGTATGTCAGCTCAAAATCTATACCGCCACCCTTATACCTTTCAAGCCTCCGTCCGATTTAGGTTTAGGGCTATATCAGGTTAAGGGTTTAGGGTGTAGGGACGTCATGAAACCTAATGACCTGGGTATTTTGGCTTGGCGAAGGAAGAGTTGTATAGGAACAGATGAAGTAGGCAACCGGGCTTCAGGCACATGCATGCTCGTAGCATCTGAAGTCGCAACTTGCTTTCTGTTGGCACCTCGAAGTTCTGTTCGCACCTCGAAGTCGTAAGAACTAGACTAATGTTCATGGATTCCAAACATGGTTATAGTTCTCAATCTTTTGATCATTCGTGAGAACTGCCAACAGAAATATGCAAATATTGCGTGTATATATGTATATATGTACGTGTTTATATATACCATATATATATATATATATATATATGTTATTACACGTGATTGTTCGCTTGTTTTGAAAACAACTATTACTGCTAGTATTCCTGCTATTCTTGCCGTCTGTCTGGGGCCCCAGGCCATTCTGGCCTTGGGCCAAGGACAGGGCGGGGAACCTGCGGCGAACTTGGCTGGAGAACTCAAGAGCCCTGCTTAGTATAGGCTTGAGAGTGCAAGGCTTGAGTCTTTAGGGCATAGGATGTTCAGGAATTGGTGTTCAAAGTGTAGGGTTTGGAGTTCAAGGCGTTCAACAGTGGTCAACCGCCACGCAGTAACCAGGAAGTGCATTCAAGTGAACGCACACATTAATGATTCAACAAAAGCCGCTAGCGCTGATCCCATAGCCTAAACCCGCAAGCCTGAGTCCTGGAAGATAAAAAATCGGGCCCAACGCCCGTTCACGGCACTATGACAAAAGAAATCATGTACGATAAGGTGCAAGCGGCTGCTTTGGAGCCCCGTGTTGCAACCGAACTCCCACAAAACACACACAGAGTTTGGTTGTAACAAGGAGCCGCGAGAACTATAGGATTGCTAATCTTAGTCAGACCACAAGTTACGCAGTAGTAGTAGTAGTAGTAGTAGTAGTAGTAGTAGTAGTAGTAGGAGTAGGAGTAGCAGTAGCAGTAGTAGTAGTAGCAGTAGCAGTAGCAGTAGAAGCAGCAGTAGTAGCAGCAGCAGCAGCAGGAGTAGCAGGAGTAGCAGTAGTATGACAATAGTAGTAGTAATATATGCATATACCTATGTTTTAGACATATATATATATATATATATATGTCTGTGTACGTACGTATGCATGCATGCTGAACTAAGGATTCAATTCTTGGGAGCTTTTGCCTTTGAGTTCTCGGATCCAGGGTTTGATTGCTTTTGCCTGTCGAGGATTCGCAAAACAACTTTAGGGTTTAGGGCTTATAGGGTTTATAATAGGGTTAGGGCATTAGGGTTTAAAGGGTTTAGGGTTTACGAGCGAGTCAGCACTTCAGTTTAGTAGCAGTCTTCCAAGAACATCGATAGTGTTCAACTAGAAAGCACATTGCAACCGCATCCTTGGTGAGAGCAAAGAGATAGCGACAGTTCTGGTATCAAGGCTTGCTAGTGGTTGCCACACTCCTCCGTAAGGACTGAAACATGCGAACATCCGACCTTCGCTCAACACCCTCACCCTCGAGCCCCCAATGCCTTATAGCTCCCTGTCAATGATCCCTTTTTTTGAGCACGGGCTTGGCTTGCATGCCGGCACATCCTAAACCCTCTAAACCCCAAACCTCTAAACCATAAGCCCCAAAGCCTTGAACCCCTAAACCCTAGATAATCCCCTAAACCCTAAACTCTAAAGAATGAGTCAAGCGGCAACAGTACCAGCAGCGAAGGCATGGCCAGGGATCCGGGACAGGTCCAGGTGTTGACTTGAGAGCTGCAATATCTCAGGGAGGAAGTTATACCTTAACCCATCAGAACCTACTTTTGTCCTAGGGTTTATAAAAATTCCATATCAAGGTTTATAAGAAGAACCTACAAAAGAGTAGGTATTGGTAAGTTAGGGTAGGGTTTGGGGGTTTAGGGTTGTAGAGGTTACATAGGGGTTTAGGGTTTATGGGTTTCGGGTTGTGAGCTGAACCTATAAGGCCTCACAAGCCAACTTGGGATCCCATAGTTCTCGAACCCCCCCCATAATCGACCCCCCCCCCCCATAATTGAAGGTCGCTCCTGGGTTTAGGAAGTTTCGGTCCGCTCCCGACCGAGACCCTAAACCTCGAAGTTAGAAAGCTCTTTGCTTAGGGCTTAAGGGCTTTGGGAGAAATACCTGAAACTAATGCCAAAGCCTAGGCCAGAAGTGAAGGTCTTCCTGAACCCTGAAACCCCTAAACCCTAACCCCTAAACCCTAAACGCTAAACCCTAAACCCTAACCCCTAAACCCTTAGTGTGAACATCCGACAGCATCTGCAAACAAACCGAAGGACTCTGCTCTAGGCCATGTTTTGGCGAGGATCTCCTGGCTGCCTGGGAGCCTGGAGGTTTAGGGTTTAGGGCGACGGTCTAGTATAGGGGCATTAATAATTCGAAGAGGGTTTTGGGGGCTCCATATGATAATTGTAGTACAATATACCCTCAAAAGCCTCGATTATTAAGGATCCTACATCAAGGGTTTCAGGGGTTCAGGTTGATGTTACCTCAATGCGCCGCGGTTGAGCACGACAGGACTCCTGTGGTGCTACCTTAGGCTGGGAACCCCGTAGCCTACGAACCATGTAAAACATCTACACTCTGAATCCCACGCCCCCCAGAAACCCCGAAGCCGGTGGATCCTGAACCCCATGGATCTGATATCTACAAAAACTCTGCAGGTTTCGCTAGAATTCGGGCTTGCGGAGGCTTCCCGTTCATGGCTTGCAGTCTTCAGAGTTCCGGATCTAGGGGGGTTTTCGGAATTTCGGGCCGCACGCTGCCGAAACCTGAACTGATGATCCCTAGGGGTTAGGGCTTAGGGTTTAGGGTTTAGCCGTCCTGTACGATTGTGGCCTCCTCATTCACGAAGCCTGAGCGGCATCTTGCCCGGGCGAAGGAGGGGCTAAGGAGGATTATGGCTTGGGGGTACCCATATTATTATTAGGCTCCAGTGTAGCTCCTTCTTGGGAGTATACCTTATAGGACTCTTGAGATAAACTACGAACGGAACAACCCCTAAGCCGGAGAGTTAGGATTATAGGGGGACGATGGGGGATCTAGACCCTTTCAATAAGGCTCTTTTTAAGAGAGCCATAAGTAGGGCCAAGAAGGGTCCCCTTTCTCCCTTCTGCTACTTGGCATAAACCTAGACTCTATCAGGGTTTAGGGTTTAGGGTTTAGGGTTTAGGGTTTAGGGTCCTCTTTCAGCACGGGATTTGCTTGCGCAGCATGACCAAGGCTAGAATACCTAGGGGCTGAGTACCCCAGCCCAGGATAAGGTGAAGCATGGTAGGATTACATAAGCCCCGAAAGTTAAGGGTTGCCTTATCAGCCGCTCTGTAGGGCACCGAGCAGAGCTACTCAAGACACGTCCTTTGTGCTGTACGTCGGTGCGTTGACTAATTACTGTGGGTTGGCTCAGCTCACGCTTTGGCTTGGCCTAAACCTTCAAGTAAGAACCCAACCAACCCTTTTTGCATCAGGGCTTTTGCAATCGCCTGAATGTCGGAGCCTACAGAACCCAACCAGCCCTGAACCCTAAACCCTAAACCCTAAGCCAGGATCTGATCCTAGGTCTGGAGTTTGCGGACCCGAGAAAACGATGGCTTCCAGAAAACTCGAATAGAAACGTGATGATTGGGCCTTCATGACTAGAACAGGGTTTTGGGGGGTATTACAGTATAAATTATGAGTTAGCATAAAACACAATGAGGAACGCTCAGGAAGAGTACTCTTATGTTGCCTCTATGAAGGGCAGCCTGGGTTGCGGGCTTACCTGTAAAAAAGAACCCCGCAAGAGAGCATGTCGTAACCCCTACTTAGGGTTTAGGGTTTAGGGTTTAGGGTTTAGGGGTTTAGGGCATACTTATACTAGCTTGGGAGTTAGAGTTGAAGGCATTCTATTTATCGTAGACAACTCATAGCACCGCTGCACATAGGAGGAAATTCAAGGGTTGAGCTCACTCCCCGATAGACGCCATTGTAGACGTTCAAGCCCCGTACACTCGGCCAAAATACTCTCAGATTAAAAGCGACATTAGACTCCGTCAGCCCCTTGGAGGGCCTTGTGGTTGCACACAGGACTAAACCCTTTTTCAGCAAAGCCCACAACTCAAAACCCTAAATCGAAAACCGCTGCAAGCTAATTGCCTTTGGCCAAGGCTCGCTTCGGGTTTGCAGGGCCGCGCGCCCTCTGCTTTCCCTGCACTTGGCTGGAGGCTCGCGTATGGCTGGGTTTAGGGTTATACAGGGTCTAAACTGACCGATGTAACCGGGTGGCAAACCCCCAAACCCCAAGCAGTAGAACCCAAACCTCCCGCATCATAGGAAGGCAGCACAGCTAGCCATATGTCGGATATGATTACCGCACTTCTCCAAGTCGACCATATAACATAGTACTGTCAATAGAGTTTGCCCCCGAGGCAACAAACTACAGGTCTTGTTTCATTACAGAAACACATGTACACAGTACACAGATGTGAGGGGGATCTATTTGAGCAAGGTCTTTGGGAGTGGGCTTCTGGCTTCGCAGCCTCAATGCACAAACACCGGAGGCAAAAATCAAACAGCAAAGCTCAACTTCAAGAAGTCTCCGCGGCGATGAAGATTCCGCTCCTGCATGACGGACACCACACACCAAGCCATCACTAAGCCCTAGCCCTAACCACAGTCAGGAGGAAACATCCGAACCAAACTCGAACCCCCTCCCAACGGCTGAAACCCCCGCCATGCAACTTAACCACGGACATCCCAGAAACCTAAGATCCAACACCAGCCTATGACCAAAAAACTGTAGCAAGAATGCCCAAAAAAAAGCAGAGAAGGCCAAGGACCCTGCAGTAATGTAGGGGCCTTAATACTTTGAAAATAGGGTTTTGGCGTATATTCCACTATTATTACTATTATTATTATTACTATTATTATTATTACTATTATTATTATTATTAGAATAAGGAACCACCGAAAAAAAGGTATAGGTAATTATTAAAGCCCCTATACTTTGCGTTACACTATAATTATATATAAAAAGGAACCCCCCCCCAAATAGTAGTATAGGTAATCCATTATTTAAATCTTAGATCCCTATATCCTAAACCCCTAAACCCCTAAACCCCTAAAACCCCTAAACCCCTAAACCCCTAAACCCTGAACCCCTAAAACCCTAAAACCCCTAAACCCCTGAGCCCCTGTCCTGCCTCGGGCTTGGCTTTGGCTTTGACCTTGGCCTTGGCCTTTGCCTTCGGCTCTGCGGGCGTCTTCGGCCCCTGGCGTGCGGGGGCCGAGAGGCGATGCTTTAGGGCTTAGGGGTTTAGGGTGATGCCTTAGGGCTTAGGGGTTTAGGGTCTAGGGTGATGCTTCAGGGCTTAGGGGTTTAGGGTCTAGGGTGATGCTTTAGGGCTTAGGGGTTTAGGGTTTAGGGTGATGCTTTAGGGCTTAGGGGTTTAG